AAGTGCAGAAGGCCATGGCTTACATGCTGCTGACCAACCGGAAAAATCAAAAGAAGCAGAAGATAAAGTGGATGCTCCTCCTGATGGCCTACCAGACACGGTTCCAGGTCTACCTGAAATCTCAAATACACGTACAGATGAGCCAGCTGTTGTTCAAGAAACAGACCCAGCCCGACCATATGCAGGAAGCACCGCTTCGGAGTGCACGCATGCGCGTGCGCCCTCTATCAAGAGGGAAGATGAGAACAAATCAGAAGAAGCAGAAGATGACTTCCAGGGCGCTGTCAAGAAAGCTGTCACTCATCCTGCGTTTTCAGACTTCATGAGGAGCGCCGAGTATGCCAATACCGATATCTCTGCCTTTGGAAGCAGGGGCATGGAAGATCTGTTGAATTTCAACGAGTTCATTGTCTCTCAGGGTTTTTCTCCCTTGACTCTCCTACCTTCTAGTCCTCACATGACTGCAGTCAAGGCAAAAGCCAAACCCATCGTTCCATCCCAAGACGAAGAGCAGGACAAGCTTGAGTCTTCTCAGGTCAAGGCTGAAGATGACAACAATCAGCATGAGTTTCTGAATTCCTCAGCTACGACCGAGGGTCTCGACTTTCCTCTGGAAGACAAGGCTATTGAAGACCTTTACGATGATGAGACAGCCTGGCTACAAGCTGTTAGCTCTGCAAAGGCTCATCAATGGTTTCCAGAATACTGGAAGGAACTCTCGGAGGAGCTTGATCCTGAAGACTTGGCAACATATGAGTTTGGCCATCCTGAGAATGATGGGGATCCAGTTGCATCATTTCAGCATTGGGCCGCATGGCTTAAGAAGAAAATGGATGCAGAAGAAGCTGAGCGTGGTTTGGCCATTGAATGCGCTTCCGCTGAGGCAAGAGTTGTTTATGATATCGAAATCACTTCTGCACTCAAAAATGGCTGGCCATCAATTTTTGTCACTCTGCCTCGCTTTGAACCCGACTTTGATCCCAGAACAGAGGGAGTTACAAAGCAATTAGCCGGGAAACCAAACAAAATGCAAAGACGTGGGAATCAGAACTCCTTGAAGATCCTGTTCAACAAGGTCAACTGCAAGTTCACCAAGCCTGTGACTCTTTCACCAAATCCACCGAGCCCTGTCAGTATGTTGCAGTTGTGCCACCCAAACCGTGAAATGACTGCTGACGAACTGACAGCGGTTGATTCTGCCATGTCCGTGCAGGCCAAGCTGTTGTCCCAGCAAGCTGAGTCGCCAGCAAGCAAGAGAAGGAAGATTGAGAGCGAGAAAGCAGCCGGGGCGGCCGCAGTCAAAACAGACCATGAGAACTTGGCAGCAGCTCCACATGAGATCAGGAATGACTTGACTCCCACCGGCAACTTGGCCAACAAAAAACTGGACTGAAAAGCATGGACCATGCATAAAAGAGGCTCTTCCAAAGCCACTTATACATAGCCCCTCAACTATGGGGGTACAGGCTGTAGGCTAGAAGAATACCTGACCGGCGGCAGCGGTGTTCAAGGTCCTGATACTGAGCATTTGGATGGAAGCGGCAGCAAACTTCCTGTGGACAAGGCCAAGGAGTATGTCGCGGAAGCCCTCGAGAAATGGCCGGACGTTTGGGATTTGCACCAGTCTGTGGCCAAAGCACCTAAATCCTGACTTTGGCAGGCTTGTGAGCATTTGAATTTGTATATTCTGCCTGCGCTGGCAATGGTATTTATATACTAGGACTAGGACAATAACTGTAACTTTAATTCATACCTTTCCCTTAGTGCTTCCCTGATGTTTCTGTTGAGGTAATGGCAGCTTTGGTTTTGCAGCATCATTCAGAAGACCCGCATTCCCAAGTCTTTGAAAATTTGAAAAGTCACCCGTCAGAATTGTCCCTGGCTTCAATCTGCAGTGGTACAGGGGCGTTCCTTGGCTTAGGCTTAGGTGATGCAAGTTTCACTTGGTTAGGTCGCAGGTCGCTTGCATCCTTGGCCTTTCTTTGCAATTGTTTTAGGTTTGAATCCTGCGTGGCAACGGCTGCTGCAAACTTGCTAGAAGCTTTTGGACTTGAGCCGCCTCAGGTCGTGTGGTAGAGAAATCGTTGGTTTTGTGTAAGCAAATCCCGAGTGTAAAGAGTCACCTGATTTGCTTGGAGGTGGAGATGGCATTTGCATCAGAGTGCGTTGATTACAAGGCAAAGTATTGTCTTGCTGCTCTTCGGGCAGAGCATGTAGAACATGATATGTGCATGTTCAAGGACTGGTATGCTATTCATGTGCTAGTTGTAGCATCGACAGTATTGGTTTTTGTGTTCTCATGTGACCTTTTCATATATTTGCAAAGCTGTGCTGTGAACTGCACATTGCATATTGTTTCAGTGTTCCAACTAGGAAAATACATGCCAATCAGGACGCGCTTTGTCTCCGCAATGATAAAACGCGGATGTGTCAGACTCATGGAGAAGCTTGCAACTTGCCGACCAAGCTAGATGCGTTTGGGGCCGGTTTCAGCTGCACGTCCTACAGCAATTTGAGCAAGGATTGTGTGAAAAATGCAACTGCCATGCTCAAAGCTGCAAATGATGACCCTGACGACTCTTAGCCGGCCAGGCATATTTGACAATTTTTGGTATACAGGGTCACAGCCTAGTTTCTTTATATAATTTATATAAAATATATATCTTTACGCACGCAGCGCGCGCATATATTCACCGGCTCACTTGTTCCAAGGGCAAGGTTGCCAGCGTCACGACGTTTCAAGCTTGCATGGACGTTCTCGAAGTGTCCAACCCTCTCTGGGCAGTTTTTGAGAACGTGGAAAGCATTGATCGTGAGGTTGACCCGGACATGCACCTTGCCGCTTACTCAAGTTTTGTTCTTTTTATAAATTGCATGGTCACAGTGAAATGTTCAGGCTGTATAATATAGGTGTGGAATAGACTTTAAGGAAAACAGTGCATGAACATCCAAGGCAAACCAACCTAGACCTGTGCCTGAAGGAAATTGAGCAGAGGGGTTACGCTGCTCAAAGCTATTTGCTTGATGCCAAAGCCTATGGATTGCCTCAACATCGAAGGCGGATCTACATCATTTGCCTCGACTTTCACAACAAACAATTGAGTGTGTCAGCCAATGACTTCTTTGCCAGTGTGAAGGTGTTGCTGCGAAAGCTTTATGTCCCGGCGCCTCCTGCTGTCACTCGGATGGTCTTCACTAGGGCGGTAGCGTTTATCTTTCCACATTTACTTTATGTTAGCTGTATCTGAATCTGGATAGATATAACTTGACATTAAAAGCAACTTGTGTTTGCTGTTTGTTTCTTTGGCAAATTCTCTTTAAGGACAAATTTCTTCTCTGTGATGATGATCCTCGACTGCGTAGTCTTCTTCAGGCATTGACTCAGGACAGACAAGCCAAGTTGTCAAAAGAGGCTGAGGAACCGCCAAAGAGTACCAAGAATGCAAACTGGACTGGATTGCACATGTCCATTGCTGAAAAGCGTAGCTTGGATGCTGATGCTTTTAACCGGGCCAAAAATCTGGGTTCAACTTCACTTTTCAGTTTGCTGTTTGCTTGTGTTTAAAGTGAGCTTTCAGTTCTCCCTTTAGCCGTTTGTGGTTAGTTGTTAGCCTTTGAAGCGTCCTTCGTTTTTACAAAGCAAATTGCTCTTGTCTAAGGAGGCATCCAGTGGCCAGTTGAGATTCCAGCCTCCGTGAAGGATTCCCCCTGGTTCCAAGTCTTGACTGAGCGTGCGCAGGAGGCTGACATTGTTTCTGCTGACATTGTTGTGACGTAGGGGTACTTGTAGGCATACGGCAGACATATGACACACAAATGATACACACATATTGACACACATCTATTTATTTCACTGTATACATACTTCTATCGGTAGCGGTATTATATAACATAGTGGTACAACCATAGCTGGAGAGGCTGCAATCTCAACGTAAACAAATTAGTGGAGAGCTCTTTGACTCTGCAGGTTGTGGGTTTCTGTTGTGATGAGCGTGAACGCCTGGGTCGCGCAATTGACTATGCAGATGTGTATCATAGTGCGAACCGGTATGCGACATCATCCCGTGACCTACACATTGTCCTTCCTCGCAGCATTTCGTGGGCATTCCAACAAAACCGTTTGCTTCATGGTGTTGAGCACATGGCCATACAAGGGCACACTGTGAAGGTGGAGGTGGACTCAGCCAGTGGTGGTAAGGGCTTCACAAGTTCTCAGCTGACCAGTTTGGCAGGGAACGCGTTCTTTGGTTTTTGTGCAGTAAAACACTTTTGTTTTCAGCTTTAACTGTTTCAAGCCTTCTCACTGCAATGATAGGTCGGTCTGGGTGTCAAATAACACTAGACTAAAGCTCCCAGTTCATAAGCGTTTGAAAACCAGTTAGGTTTGCCTCGTCCGTGATTACCTCGGTGACCATGGCCATCTTGGCCTCCCTCCGCTTTGCGACTGAAAGTGAGGAAGAGGAAGTAGAGGATATTGAGGGTATGGTGGCCGATATGACCTTGCCACAACATGAATTCTGATCATGAGAGTCAGAATTGCCTGACATGCCGTTTAATTAGAGTGATGACTGATCACGGCTTTCGCAGCGATGAGCAGTGAAAAGGAGTTACTATCAGGATCCGGAACGACATGAAACTTGTCACGCTCATCAAAAAGTGAACGTGATACTTGACCACGTTCATCCACGTCCGTTTGCACGTACGGCCACGTCCGTTCACACGTTTGTATATGCCCGTATATGCCCGTACATGCCCGTACATTGCCCGTATATGAATTTTAACATATTTTTTTACGTACGTCTTGATTTCAGCCAAAGTATGTGCTAGTTTAATGCAGTGGTCCGGCAAAACTATGCTTATATATATATATACACATTATATGGGGAATCCACACACCTGTTTTGATCAAAGTCCACCTTCGGCCTTGTTACTATGGAAAGGAGCAACAAGTCTCCCAATCTTGCTTTACAGAGGCCTGTGGGCTTTGCTTTGCTTCTAAGGACTATGTTTGGAGGATGGGAGACAGTGGGGTTAGTGTGGTCAAAAGCCCTCCAAATCGCACGGGCCAGGGCCTTGGTAGAGTCTGTGGATGTGCCAAAACCACCAAGCGGAAGAGCAACATTGACATTGATTTGGGGCGGTCCAAAAAACAAAGACCTTTTGGACATTCATTTTGGGAGCGTTCTCATTGGCTCCCGTCAGCTGTCAGAATCGCAACTTCTACTTTATTTTGCTCGTGTGTTTTTTCTTGCCCGTGCCAATGAGCTAGCCGAGGTCGGTAATGGCAATGCCTTTGGAAGCCACAGCATCTCACTCTGTACATAGCTAGATTCGCTCAGAATCTGACTTTCCAACAGATGCAAAGTTACATCGGATGCAAAGTCTTTCGCTTGAAAAAGGCAACCCTTGGAATCCATCCACTTTGTTTTGTCTTCCCACATATGTAGCTTGAAACTTCTGGAACAGGAATCCGGATTGCCATTGGCAAAGAATGTTACGGGCCCTCATGGCGCCAACACCAAAGGAAGTCAGGCACAGTCGTCCCGAAACTTGCAACGCAAACATTGGAAGGTTCTCAAAAGCTGCTTTGCAGCTTTGCCAGGACTACAGAGAAATCATGTTGAGGAGCGGCAATTTCCCGAAGAGGCAAGAAGTTGCAAGTTTGGAGAATATTTAGAGCTTTCCACAGAGAAGCTACTAGTAACAAGTGCCTCGCTTCTAGTAACAAGTGCCTTACTGGTAGTAACAAGAAGCTACTAGGAACAAGTGCCTTACTAGTAGTAACAATAAGGTGGGAAGACACCTACGATGACTACGAGAAGAAGGCAACTGGTGTTCCTGATGTTTCGGCGCTGGAATTCTTCGCTGCAAGGTTGGGGAATGGTGGACTCAACCGAAATGGAGATGCGGTTATCCAGCAAAGTGATCCTAAAAGGCCATTTTCTGCTGCAAAGGCAAGCTACCTTTTCCTCTCAAAACCTGAGTTGAGTAGAAGTCTTTGTCTCAATAGTTTTGACACAAAAGACCCATGGCCTAATTCGGTGCCCTTCAGTGTTCATTGTGGCATTCACTGTTCATGGTGGCTTTCCTTTGATATGCAGCTCAGTCCGGAAGAATTGTCCGCCCAGACAAAAGAACGGCCAGTTTTCTGCTAAGCATTGCCCAGGGTGAGCAAGAGATCAGTGATGATACGTTTTCCTTGTTGCAGAACTGCTGTAGAACTGCTGTTGAGATGGTTGTGCATATATATATAATATATATATAGAGTGTCAGCATGACTTTCGTTTGGCTCAAGTTTTCCAAGTCTTCCCCCCGAGCTAAACAGAGCGAGAAACACTTCGACTCCAAACAGAAGGTTGCCTGAGCAGCTTTGTATTTTTATCACATCCTTCAACTTCTCATTTGGGAGCTGCGAGCCATGGATTTCCGGGCAGGGATAGATGCAGCTCAACTTCCAGTCTACCACAAGCATGATCAACAATGGGTCTCCTGGCTTAAAGTTTTTGCACTTTGCAGCACATTAGGTTGGTGTAATGTGGTTTGCCCCTTTGGCCCCTCGCTTCATGGCAAATTCTTTCAAACAAGAGTTGGATCCAAGGAAGAGGCCATGATTGTTGCCGAATTATCGGCCGAGGCGGCAAAGTGTCTTTTGCCTGGACATTTTGGCCAAACAAACTTCATTTGAAGTCCTGTCAGGAGCCAAAGATGGTTGCTCCCAAGCGGCCTTGCCCAGAATATGCAGGTTATCCGGAGGCCCAGAGTTTAGCATGCCCTGCTTGTGGGCTGGTTGAACTTTTGAGAGTGTTTCCGTGTTCACCTCAACGGGATAGATTACAGATTGTGGCAAGTCAGCTTGCCATAGTTTGCCTAGTCTGTTCAATCGCTTGAACACAAAACACATCCCAGAAGAAGTTTTAGGCACAGTTGGTATGAAGTGAACCGACAGATGCTGAGAGCTGAGAAAGATAGAATCGTGGCTATGTGTTACCAACCTGACACTGAACATATGATTCCATATGATCCTTGTTTGCCGCGCATCCCATCAAGACTTGCAGACAAGTCCTTGATACGCCCTGTGCAGGATTGCCCTGTGCTGCCTACGCTCAACTTGCCCATGAGCATGGACACAGTGCAGCAGCTACTCCGACTGGCAGAGGTTCGAATCGTTTCGTGTGGTCGAAGTGGGTGTCATTTGCTCAGAAGTATCTCGTTTCGGCTCACCTTCTCCGACCTTCTTCGACCATTACAGTCATTCTACCAGCATTGACCGTGAAGCATCGCTGCTTCCACCAATTGCTATATATATATATACATATAACTTATCCGTCTCTTTACAAGGCAGTGCTTGTGCAACATTGATCCCGCACCTCATTTTCTGACACGAGTTAGTGGCTTAAGCCCACATGGATGCGACCAAGGCTACATTGTTTTGCAGAGAACACACTTCCTTTAAGCCACCGCACACGCTTGTTTCGAGTCTTTTAGCATCTCTGCTCTGATTGGTAGCAGATAATCACCCTGCAGATGTCCCCTAAAGATACAAGCAATGCCCAGGACATTTTTTTGTAATGTGGATTTGCTTTCCATATACTTTTTGGACCCTCGAGCTCTTTGTGAATGTACTAAGCCGCCTTAAGCCTTCTTCCAGAGAATCATATTCAAAGTCCATTTGTTTGAACGTCACCTTTATGTGCACCATTTGTGCCTTGTGCAGAAGTGCATTCTGCGATGTTTGCGGACCATGCAAGCTTTTTCTGCACTTGGTGCCAAATTACTGAGAATCACCCATGTATTTGGCAAAAAGGCGAAAAGGGCAATCGATTGAGGCGGTAGTTACTTGTCTCTAAAGTCTTCCGAGCAGGGCAGTGTCCGTACCTTCACAAGATGTTGCACCTTGTTTGCTTTGAAGCACGTGCACAGCAGGGCTCGTTCGCTGTCAGATGCCATCTCCTCCATCCTTACGTGTTGCTTCTAGTGTGATGACGGAAAGCGCTGTAGCGCTTGGAAGTATTACCGAAAGGGAAGGGGGGGGGTGGGGGGGGGCCAAGCTGATTTGCAGACAGCGAGGGCTTTTTTTTGCATGTTCGAAGGTCCATAAAACACTGTAATTTACAGTAAAAAGTGGCTTTGGATGGGTTTGTGTTGAGCTTATTTACCTTCAAAAAGTTGCATTTTACCTGCACGGGAGGCAATTTTTGAGGTTTATCTTCTTATCTCGCATTCGAAGGCTTTGAAGTGCAATGTGCATAAAACACTGTAAAAGCCATGAAAAAATGAGGTCCCACAAGTGTAAGGAAGGTGTTTTTGAGAGCTTCTTTTTATAATTTGTTTGCGTATGAAAGCTAGCTCCTGACGAGCACATCCATGATGTCAATACTGCAGTCTTCCCCAGAGAACATAACCAGCATCGCAAAGGTTTGGACAAGTGCAAGAACTGTGATTGTGAGAGCTTTATTGCTTATGAAAGCTTGCTCCAGTTGGTGGTCAAATTTAGGGCAGGTTTGTCGGCGATCTTCAGGCATTCCTGGGCACATCCTTCTCCATCTTGGCGCGTTTCGCCCAATGTTGGGGCTCTCTTTGAGCCTTCTCGTCGAGGTATGTTGGAAGTGATTGGGGCCGTGGGGTCTAGATCAGGGCTCTGTTGAAGGCTTTGCTGTTGTTATGTCACTTGTTTTGCAGACATGCTGGTCCACTTGGCTGCTTTTTCTCTGGCGTTTGACTTGGGCAGGTGGTCCTTTGCGTAGTGCGTGTAAAACACAAAAAAAGACGTGAAAAGTGAGGTCCGACAAGTGTAAGAAAGGGCTTGACAGTTTTCTTTGTCGTTTTTGTTGCTTTGTCTTATGAAAGCTTGCTCCAGTGGGTGGTCAAATTCGGGGCACGTTTGTGCCAATCTTCGGCGATCTTGGTGCATTCTTGGGACATATCCGATATCCTTTTCCATATTGGAGCACTCCAAAGAATGTTGGGGCTCTCTTGAGGCTTCTCGTGGAGGTATGTTGGAAGTG